TGGAAATTTAACACTATGTTAAAATTCTGAAAAATTACATCTATAATATTACGGAATTTTAATATCTGAAAAATTTTCGAAAATTTTTCGGAAATTTCCGTAATATTTTGTAAAAAATTCCGAAAATTTAATACCATATTAAAATTCTGGAAATTTTTGCTTATTAAAATTTCCTGATGTCTATTATTGATATATTGATTTTTTTCTCTACGTATTCTGTAAATTTTAACCATTTTTCTTCACACATTATTTTAATATTATATCTAGGACCATTATTTATAATATCAGTTTTTTCTTCACGGATTTGCCAATTACTCCTAACTTTGAGGTCTACCAGCTTATGATCACTTTCTGTTATTAATTTTAAATTATCAACATAACACGATTCCATTTTTTCTCCCCATTTTTCTGACATCCGTATTGCATCAATGCGACTTTTAGCAGTTGAATTATCTCTTTGCTACGTAAAGCCATTAGATTCTGGATACATTGTTCTGTAGCAATTGATAAGTTCTCTACTGGTCAAAAATGGGAAGATTTCACTCTCTGGTATCTGTGATTGGCTATTATTGTTTCTGTCTATATTTGGTGAAGAGACTACATTGAAATCTCCCATTACAATTAACTTGTAGTTTTTTTGTTGTGCCTGTATAATCCAGTTTTTGATTTTTCCCATTACTTCTTCATTTTCACATTTTTTACTTGATAAGTATATTTGTATTATTCGTATTGTGGTTTTTTTTGGTAGTACCATATCCACGCGTATTGCTCTTCCTTTAAACTTTTGGATATTATATATGTATTTATTTATATCTTTTGAGATTATTATTGCTACACCCGTACCCATACCATCAGAAGACTAGTGTATTCTATACTTATTTCCTTTATCTATAAATCACTTTTTATTATTTTCTTTACAATTTGTTTTGCGATACCCATAATATCTATTTTACTCGTTTTAATATGATTATATAAAAGTTCGCGTTTAATATAATCTCTGAAACCCCTTACATTATGTGTGGCTATGCTTATTATCTTATTATCTATATAGTTATTCTGATTATTAGTATTCTTATTATTGTTATATTCCTTTAAATTATTATAAGGATTGTTTGTTCTTTTATGTTGATTATTATCTTTTTTATTATTAATAATATTATTATTATTGTTTGATTCTATCATAATGGTTTATTAAAATTTAAAATCAGGAAATGTTATTGGTTATATATACCAATATTGCTTTCAGAAATTTGTGGTCCAGAGAAAGTCAATGTTGATCCTACTCTCGTTTCAATTGTTTCAATTCTGTTTGTCATCTGTTGCATTATAAAGATAATTTTATCTAGTTTGTTATTTGTTTCATGTTTTTTACTTGGTTTTGATTTGTCATTATTATTGGTGTTATCATTATTTTCCGTAACTTCTTCGTCTATCATTTCTTCATCTTCTTCCTGTTCTGAAGTCCAATCTTGAATCTGTTCTTCTGTTGTATTCATCACATGATGTTCTAGGATTTCTAAACGTTCGCAAAGTTCGTTCAAAACTTGTTCAATTCTTTCTAGTCTTTGATCACTTGTGGTATCTAAGTTCACTTTTTTTATATTATTATTATTATTATTATTTTTTTAATTACATCTGCGTACGTTTGTCCTCCAACTAATATATTAATATTTTTAAAATATTTTGGATTGTATTGTTTGTATATTGCATCAAATTTTTCTATTCTCTCTGCTGCTTTGTTTTTGTATTCGTGGTCCTGAGTTCTACGAGGGAAATTAGCAACAAAGTGATCTGTTTCATGACAACGATGACATGTTTTTGTTTGAATATTTACAATTCTAATATTGAGATCACCACCTTCCCATATTGCATTGTAAGCATTCTCACAAGCTTCTTCCTCTTGAAAAGAGATAATAGCTTCACCTTTCTTCCTGTAGTTTCTTGTTCTTGAAAAGTAACAAATTTTTGCTTCCAATTTTTCAATGTGTGACCACAATTCTCTTGCTGTAATACCACTGGGCAAACTGATTACCCTTGCTGCATATTGAATACGTGATTTAAGATTATCAATTATTTGATCTAATTGTGTTACTCTGAGAGAATCTTCTCCAATTATGATGCTCCAATTAGCAAGTAACTTTTGTGCACTACTTTTTTCTTTGAAAATAATGACAGCTGACTCCACATGTTATTTACTCTTAAAGAAATTCTTGTAATTTCTTTAAATTTCAATTCTAATTCTTGTTTAATATCCTTATTTCTAAATCCTAAAGGTACATCCCACAGTTTGATGCCATATTGCATTTCTTTGTCTGGATTGCGTTTAAAAATTTCAGCCCTATGCATGTAAGTTGGCTTATTTGTATATCCACCTACATCACATATTTTTCCTTTTTTCATTTTTTCTTCATTGTCGTAATACGCTGCAATTATTTTTCTATTGTTGAATGATTCTGTTTATATTTTGATTACTACAGACTGTTTTTTAGGGTTAAACTAACATTTTCCAATTTTTCATTTAGGTTTTTTTCCAAAATTTTATCAGCTATGATCCAGAGTTTATATTTTTTTGTACCTAATGAGTTGCGCCATCCGGTTTGGTAGTCATTTTCAGTTTCAAAGGATGTGATTGATTCTATTTCTTCTTGTTCATTTGTGTTATTTTTATTAGGTAGTTCTTTTTCTTTACCTTTTCCTTTATTTTTATTCTTTACTACTTCCGTCTATCCAGTTGTATCACTGTTTTCTTGGTTTTCGTTTAATTCTTCATTTTCTCCATTTTCTTCCACATCTGTCATTTCTTCAGTAGTTTGATCTTGGTTCGAGTCGTTATTATCATCTTTTAATAAAATTGTAACTTTAGGAATTGGTTTACTTTTCAAAGTTTCTACTGTCTGTTTTATATTTAATGTTGTATTTTCTGCATCAAGTTTTTTATTTAAAAATTTTTTTTTCTTGTCAATAGGATTGAATTTAAATTTGTTTTTATTTGATAACGGATTAACATTGAGAGTCCTGGTGTAGTCAACACCAGTTCTCCTAGGTCTTTCAAAGGGTTTATCGCCCATGTTAATTATAACACGGTTGATTATTACTTAAGTTAAAATAAAACTAAAACTATTTCGTTTAAAATTTTACTGCAGTTTTTCGAAAAATTGATAAACGGGAAAGAGTTTTTTTTTTAGAATTTTTAAATTATAGTTATTATAAAATAATATTATAGTTATTATAAAATAATACCTGTACATAACAAATTCTGCTATCTGACTGATATTCGAAAAGTTCATCGTTATTCATGATAATAGCAATATTACTAAATCAGGGTTAGTTGTGAAATTTATTTGTTGCTCGAAGTATTGCGCCATTTTTTAATGTAACAGAACTAAATATTTTAATCACACTTCCTTCGGCCAATATATTTGACATATCTAAATACTTATCCAAGCAATTTTGAAACTCGTTATAATCTTTTTTCATTTTTTCATTATTATTTGAATTGTTTCACAGGTCAAAATTTAAATTTCGGGTATTTATCGGGTACCTATCAGGTGCTTGATATATTTATAATATCAGGCACCTATCGGACACCTATCGGGGAAGAATAAACATATCGGGTATCTGATATGATTGATTATTACTAAGTATCTGATAATTAATTTTGTAAATTTTATCATGCACCCAATATAATAGTGATAGGTGTAAGATAATTTTATTATTATCTCAGGTCCCCGATATTGTCTTGAATATCGGGTACATGATACTAAAATAGTAATATCGAGTGGATGATATTCTAATTATTTTATTCGAGTACATAATATTATTATATGCTCATTGTATTAGATAATCTCTTTATTATTTATTATTAAATAAAATAAATTAAACAT